TAAAACTGTAATTAATATTAGACTGGCTTGCCTGTAAGAAATTGCCTATAGCAATAAGGCCCTTACGCAATTCTTGTTTTAGCTTAGTTTAAGTATTGTAATTTTTGTGCAAAATAGATAAATAATCATCTGTTAACAGTTAGACACTCTGCATGCGGCTGCAGTTGCGTTCAAAGCGAACTTGAGCACGGAATTGAAGAGTTTACTCCAGAAGACCGCAGAAGCAGCGGAGGCGGGTTGCCGCGCTACTGCGAATATGACGGCCAGGTATCTTTTACCACACCCAGAGTAGTTGATCACTAAGGGAGTCCAACTAAGCTCTTGTCTTGTGCTAGGAATGATTTCTAATAGTCGAGTGGCGGAATTCGAACCCTCGACCACGTAAATCCGTACCCCGAACCATTAGGCTATTAGTTTTATAGGCAATTATTTGCTTTTTTGTTTTCGAGCGCATTCACCTTTGACTAAACTATCGCACAACTATTTAGTCTTGCTTTGATTCTTATGAGCTTATATGGAGCGCACACAACTCGATTTTCAGTTGTGCAACTGAACAGTTGAATTGGTTGCGTAACAATCGACAATCGCACAACATTTGTGCGATAGTTTAGTCAATGGTGTGCGCCCGCTCTCATTTACGTATATATCTTTTTATTTTAATGTATTTGCAGTAATCATACTAATATTATAAATGCGAAAGTTTAAACAGATTGATGGATGTTTGTTAAAGTTTGTAGGCTATATGGCTGAATGGATTTCGATGAAATTTGATATATACATGTAGAGGATAGTCTGCAAGAACATATAGGCTACTCGCTTTTGTTTTTTTTTAATTCCGCGCAGATGGAGTCGCGAGTGGAAGCTAGTAATACTAATATATTGTTTGTTTCAGGGCGGGGCGCGCCTCATACGTGTCAGCGGAGCACGTGAGCGGGGAGGACGCGGGCGCGCGCGCCGCCGCGCTCTGGCTGCGAGCTGTACTCGACTCTATTGCACAAGCGCTTTAAGTCTATTTTACTATAACATTTTATACTATAGTGTGTCTAAATAATTTAGATTAGTTTGACAATTCATTTCAAATTTAGTAGGGATGGATTGTGTAAAATCAGTCATGAATCTGATCGATTTTCGATTTTTATTCTTACAGAAGTTGGAATCGATAGATTTATAGTTATAACTTATGAATTACAAAAAAAACACTGTTTTCTCAAATTAATAATGACCATAACAAATAATGAGAGTAAATAAATGTTTATGACTACTACAGCCGTAGGTAATCGAATTGGATTTCGCTATTATTTCTGTCATCGCTAAATTCTCCACACTAATTAATACTGAAATGTCCTATAAGTTAGTTAATAAGAAAGTAATTATTTTAGTTGTGTTCAATAATTATTTACATGTCTATTAAGTACGGCATTTACCTTCATACAAATTGAATTCGATAATTCATATGCGTCATGAATCAAACTAATCTATCTTATTTAGACAAACTATAAAGAGTTTTGTAATTGATTTTTGAAATTATATTTTTATTTTTTAATATTGTTTTTTTTTTAAAAAGGAATGTGTATTAATAAAAAACATAGTTTAAATAATAAATTATTTATTTAAAGTCAATTATGACGACATAGTTAAGCATTGATTTGAAATGGTTTTTTCTTATTGTACAAAAATATATTTCCTTTGCCTATGGGATGGATGATTTTTTTGTGAAATTCGGCTTTGTTATAAGGATTATTATGCAAATTGATCTCTAAGTCTTCGACTTACGATTTATCTGATAAAGTACGACCTAAATTTTTATTAAGATTTATTGTTCTGGTACTAGAAGTCCCACTCCGTTTGTTTCTCTATATCCATTTCTGACATTTTCTCTTGCAGCAGCAACGCTGATATGTCGTCTGGTTTAGAAAGTCATTAAAGCTTTTTAAAATATATACTAACATAAAGCATAAACCCACACTACTTAGTTATGTAAAATGCCAGCAATCATAATATATTATTGAATAAATATTTTATTTTATTAAAAAGCCCATATTTACGATACGCTTTGGACTATATTCACGCTTTTAAACTTAGGGAGTTAGTTTTGTTTAGTTTGGTGAAAATCTGTCATGTGGGAAAGAGACAAAAAAGTCATTGCAAAAAAAAACAATCGATCCGAAAATTATTTACAATATTTTATAACAGATTAGCTGTTGCTAGCGACTTGGTCAGCGTGAAATTATAAAAAAATTTAGTAAAATCATAGCTTATGTTACTCAGTGATAAGATAGCTTTGTAATGGTGTAAGAATTTTGAAATCGAACCAGTAGTTTTTAAGTTATTTCAATACACATAGTATAGATAGATAGAAAGATAATATAGATATCTATAATAATATAGATACTTACTAGCGTCAGGTTTAATTGGTTTCACTCGTCCGATGAGACTCGGCAAGAAATCCGTCTTTCTTATCTGCTTGAAAAACTGATGGTTCAACATCTGCGTGGCTGACGGCCGCCGCTCAGGATCTCTGAACATCACAAAAACATTGTTTATAATACTAGATGTTGCTTGCGACTTCGTCTACGTGAAATTAAGAAATACCTAGTAAAAATAAAGCGTATGTTACTTAAATGTATCGTATCGTGAATAACTCAAAACTACTGAGTTTTGAGTTATTTCAATACATACATCGCATACCTAGGCCATGTTTTGCGACATGAGGAATACGGCCTTCTTCAACTAATTGATGGGCAAAATCGCAGGCAAAAGACGCGCTGGAGGAATAAAGAAATCGTGGTTGCGAAATATCAGAGAGTGGACGAATATTGCCAACGTAGAACACATTTTTCCTGGCACAAGACCGGGAAAAGTTCGCTGAGCTGACGGCCAACCTCCAGTAATGGAGAGGCACTAGGAGAGAGAGAGAGAGTGAGTGAGAGAGAGAGAGAGAAATACATACAAAAACTTCGTATGTATTTCTCTTTCAGAAATAACAGAGAGAAATACATAGAAACTTTGTATGTGACAGGGAATTCCCTATATTAGCCTGTCTGACCCATACTACAAGGGAAACTTTTTTTTGTTTTGCCACACTTTTAAACACTGATACTCTCAAATCCGATTCTAACTTTAACGGTAGCTCACCTCTGCAGCGCCAGTTCGCTGAGATGATGGAAGGGTTCCGAGAGCTTGCGCGCTGCAAACACCTGACGCAAGCGGCACACGCCCTCCGCGCTGTCGCCCACCCCACTGTCCGTGTTGTACATACCTAATAATTGTACTAATATTACCCATAAGTCAACACTTAGGGGCATCGCTAGAAGACAATTAGGGGGAGGGATGATATAGCGGTTCAGTAGTAAATTTTTTTTCATTCCAAAGACAAAACACATAACCTAAAAAACTTGCAATGTTTTTAAGTTATCTGTATTATTTATTAAACAAATTAAATTAATTAGTTTAATCATCTGTAAATTGAAGTTTTCAAATTTTTATATATTGACTATATTTCGTCCGCGACTCCGGTTGTGTGGAATTGAAAAAGAAAAGGAAGTAGCCTATGTGCTCTTCCAGACTATCCTCTACTTCTATGACATCTATGACAAATTTCATCGAGATTCGTTCAGCAGTTTAGGCGCCAAACTTTGACAAATATCTATCTATATGTAAGATTTTACAATTAATTAGTTAATTAGGATTTTGATTGAAATCTATTGTTTATTACATTTTTAAATAAAAACGAAAATTATTTGAAATAACAGCCGACTTCCTTAAATAAATTACGACCAACATAAATCAGAACAAAGCATCAATTTAACTGTTAACACAAAATTACTTACCATCTGTTTCATTCCAAATAAGATCTGGCAAAAAATACATTTGGACATTAAATGTATCTTTATTATAACTATTTCTTCATACAGCAAAACATTCACAAGCATCAAATAAATAAAATCTAAACTCACTCTTCATTTCTCCATCATCAAGTGGCTCCGGGAACGAAGAACAGTCAAGTAACTGAGGTCTGTTGCCTCTTACTTTCTCAGTAAACATGAGAGTTGTTGGCACATCAGCGAATGGAACTGCACCGTTAGCCAGTTCACAACACAACACACCTAGAGAATATATATCTGAACGCTCATCGTAACCTTTTAAATTCTGTAAAGAAAATTAAAAAAAAATGAATTAAACATACGAGTCTAGTCTATTTATAGACAAATTAAACTTAATGTATAGTTGTATTTTAAAAAAGGAACTCACTAGTGATATAAGGATTATGCAACAAAAAAAAATAAATAAAAAAAGAAAAGGAAAACAAACTGTGCAAAAAAGAGTATCGACCAAGAGTCTGTAGAAGTTGATAAATAAATAAAAAAGAAATAAGCCAAGCTTAAACTCCACATTCCTTTCAAATTTTGATGTCTATGAGATTGTAAGTGACCCTAATTTAAATCCCTTTCTCTTTACCACCCTTTTCTTATAAGTTGAGGATGGGAATGGGAAGTGTATTTGACGGTTTAGGAGACGACGCCTTAGAAGGGGAAATGTCTTCTTTATGTGCGTCTCCTCCTCCGTCGGATAAGGCAACGCATCTGAAATTGCGGATGTCTATGGGCAGCGGTCGCTTTCCATTTCGGTGGATTCAGGTGACCGCTTGCTCGTTTGCCATCTTATGTTATAAAAAAAACACTTGCGACAAGAAGTATTTAAGCTTGGTTGGCGACTCAAGGTCATTATGTCTAGGCTTCCCAATCTAATCTTGGTCGGAGACCATTTTTTCTATTTATTTTTTTATTTTATTAGGTTCACCAAGCAGCTTAAAACTAAATACATAATTACAAATGACAATAATGAACTAGAGAAACTAAGTTTTAAACCGAAGTAGGTGTACACAACATGACCATAAAAAACAACTATGAAAAAAGCTACAAGGTGCAAGTATAATGTACTTAATATTTAAATCTTGTTTTAAAACTTAAATTTATTAGGTTTTATCAAACAATAGAAAGGTAGAGGAAAAGTGTAGGGATGGGTAAGGACAAACATAGTTATTGCAGTATTTTTGTGACACTACTTTTGAAGACTAAGCATTTAGGATTGAATCATTTTTATATTAATCTATTCACCTACTATTACGTAAAGAAGTCCTATTATTAAATTTTGACACCTGATAAATCCTGCACAAATCTCATACAAATTATAACAATATGAATAGTTTCTTGTAAATTTTCTTTTTAGACCCACAGATTATATAGTCACTGTAGTCTTTTTTTTATAACATAAAGTGGCAAACGAGCAAGTCGCCACCTGAATCCGCCAAAATGGCGAAGCGACCACTGCCCATAGACATCTGCAATTGCAGATGCGTTGCCTACCCTTATCCGACAGAGGAGGAGACGCACATAAAGAGGATATCTCCCCTAGGAGGAGGAAATACATAGGGTATTTCCTCCTCCGTTAATTCCACTTCCTCTTTCCATCCTCTCCTTATAAGAAAAGGGTGTCTTCGCTACACCAGAGACCCAGCACACTGTATACATACCAGTGCTTTTCTTACTGCCTACATTTATAATCATATAAAGATCAAATGGACCCTTGATAGTCCCCAGATGGAAACCAGTGCTTCACATCCATTTTTTTTCGCCGTCTCTTTTCTTCTTGCATAGCAAGAATTTTTGTTAGGCTTTGTTACAGACTTGTTTAGTTTACATTCATTTACTATAGTTGTACTTATATTACAACATACCTGCTCCAACAACTCGGGGCTGAGCCACATTAGATTAGCATTATCATGGTCGGGTGGCGGCAGATTGTGTAATTGTCTATGCCGTCTCCCTCGCACCATCATCGAGGCTGCACTGCGTAATCCTGATAACTTCACACACCCATTTGTATCAAGTAGGACATGACTTGCACGCACACTTCTGAAATGTTAAGGATGTACAGATAAAAATGAAATAAAGGACAGCTAGATTAACTTGGGTAGCTCAGGTGCTAAGCAGTTTACTTGAACGCAATTCTCTTTGCACTTTGTTCACTGAATTTTGAAGTGTAAAAAAAAATGTATATATTCTGTTTCATCACTAATATAATTTAAGAAACTTACTAACAATGTTATGAGCTGATTGTACACTTTAAATAAAAGATATTATTATTATTATAATTCCTGGGTTCAAATCCCACCATGTACCAATGTGTTTTTGAAAATCACATGAACCTATACCCCCATTAAGGAAAACATTGCAATGTAACCTGTATATATCTGCAAAGAAATTCAAAGATATGTGTGATGTCAACATGCATAATATACAACCTAACTTAGAGTAGTCAGTAAACCCCTTAGTGGAGACTTATTGTGAATTAATGATGATGTAAATAACTCAGCTATTACAGAGTCACATTATTTTTAATAATTTAAGACTTCTAACTAGTCTTTTATAATTGATATGTAAAAATTAGTCATGTCATACCTGTGAATGTATAATTGTTTATGTAAATATTGTAATGCAAACAGTACATCTCTCAGTATAATAGCGCAAGCAAGCTCTGGAAGCCCTTCCTGGAAGTACCGGTCCAGCACATCACGGCAGGAACCCAAACTCATCAACGGTGAGACCACATACAACTCCTTACCATGTACAAAAGAGGTCAAATATGATAGAATATTAGGGTGCTGTAGCTCCTTTCTTGTCAAGATATCTTGCTGGAAATTCAATACATTTTCTTACTTATATAACAGACAAGTCTTTGTTCTAGTTTTGAAAATATTAGCAAAGTAAAGTTTGAGGGGAAACAAATTACCTGTATCAAATTGGCTTTCTCTTTACTTTTGTCCACAAAGTATCTCTTGATGGCCACATTTTGGTTGTTCGGTTTATATAAAGCGGAATAAACGACAGCCACTCCACCACAACACTCTGCTACTATTGAAGTCAATTGATATTCATTTATATCGGGAATGTACATCGCAAGGCACGAAAGAAAAAAGTATTTAACTCAGTCGATTACAAACAAAATGCGCACAATTTGTTCACGTTTCAACAGTTATGAAAACATTGTATTGTTATATTTTTGTTCTAAAAATAGCAACTGTTTAAAAGTAAATAACAACAAAATAAACCAGTTTTCAGCTTTTCATGTGACAAGTAAGTTCAGAAACCAAATAGTTTGACAGATTGAGACAATGAAGCAAAATGACATAAACTCTTTATGTACTAACAGACAATAAATTTAATTTGAAAAAAAATCTGTTACTTAACATTTTACATTAACAAACTATATAAACTTATTTTGCATTTGTTTAGTAATATTACATTTGCTCAATTTTTCTAATGCTGTTAATCAAACATGGTATTTGAACACACTCAGAATTGTTAAAAAGTAACATTGACAAACAACTGACAAGTGAAGTTTAAATTATGAAGGGTAGAGTAGATTCGAATTATGATTTTACGGCCATAGTTAACGGGAGTAAGCAAATAGAGCTTCATTCAACTTTTTAATAAGTTAATATGATTTTTAAAACTCTTGTTGTGTTAAAGAACATCTGTACCAATTTAAATACATTTTAAATATATTTATCTTCATGATCAGATTCTATTTCAACTTTTTTTAGTTATTGTGTAGTAAAATGATATCAAAAAAGGTATTAGTAATAATGTAGAAAATAAACGTAGACGTATTCGCGAAAATTTGGCGCCTTACAGTCGTGGGTGGTTTCTTTAAAACCTATTTTCTTGTCGCTACAGTAATCGATATCCTTTCCTGATCCCAAGACATGCGTAATGCGCCCCACCAAGTCGACCTGCGTTAAGCTGCCATCCCCGTATATTAAATGGATTATGGCCCCACCATAATGGTGAGGCCATAATCCATAGGTAGCGGAAGTTTGATATGCAATACCCTAAATTACTTGACTTCATGAGTATTTATGTAATAAAGTTTGACGTTTATACACATAACTTTTATCGACATGAGTTACAAAAAATTTCGACATCTCGTATTTCTGAAGAAACGTCAAGTAAAATACGTAAATTACTCCGAATACCAGACGCATTGTACAGTATTTGCCCTTTGTAGCGTGTTACAAACACAACCCCCATGAACTATTCATATTAGAATTTATACAAGCAAAGTCAAGGAAAGGTTAAAGTTAACATTTTAAGGCGTATAAAATGTTCATTACTCAGAAGTATGCAGGTCCCCTGCGGGCTTGGACGCCTGCCCGTCTGGTCGCAATGCGCCATTCTGCTGTCTTCTACTGGAACATTAGTTGTATCAGGACCCCTATGCGGAACTAAAGTAATAAAAAACAAAAGAATGACGTAATAACAAATTCATGTTAGCGATCTTCAGTGGATATGAAATCGGTAGAATTCAAAAGCGTAAGCGGATTTCGACATTAAGTTCCGCAATATCATTTACCCGTCCGTCAAAACTAGCGTCGTCCTTCTCGTTCTAATCCAAAAAACAAAGATAACAATGCTTTTATGCAGTGATATTTTGACTAATCATAAAGTGTATGAACTTAAACTTTAATCGAGACATGTATTAATTATTTATTTTAACTTTCAGTAACTTATTCGTATACTATAACACCATTACCAATAACCGAACGTGTTATTTCGATGATTGCGCGTACAATTAGGTCATCAGACGTTTCTCACATACGTATCATAGACAAATTAGCGAAAATTAAACTCAACCTCGGGAAAGTTTACGAGTTATAAAACTGTAACGTTTCGCGACTGATCACAAGGTCGTGAATTTAGGTTAGGAGATGTATTACCAAGGAAAATTATAGTAAACAGGTTTAAATTCGCAAAGTTTTCGCGTGTTTTGATCAATTTACTTATAAATGATGACTATTTTATCAACTAGGTCAATAATGCAATATGAATTCTTTCCACAAAACTTCTTGCTGATTTTTATGAAATCCAGAGCTCATTGTGACAGAGGGTCACCTAAATACCAACAATGTATGACAAACTGTATCTCGAATTCAGGTGGGCAGATACAAACCTTCCCAAAGCAAGAAGAATTATTTCTCAAAAACAAAGAGATTAGACTATTCTTGGACTACCCACAGAACAGAAGATTGTATTTTTCATTTAGTAGAAGAATTGTGTAAACATTCGTCGATTCTTTGGATGTACGCTTTCGATGGTTGTTATTATTAGATTCTAGTGATGTGACGTTACAATCTAGAGCTATTTTCGATGATAATATGAACTTAAAAAGTCACATCGGCCAAAAAGTTCGCGTGCGACAGTTTGGAATGTAAAAACCGAAAATCAACTCGATAAAGACGGTAATCCCTATATATACGCGACCGGAGACCGCATCTCCAATAGGTACGTTTTATACGATGTACTCACTGCTATATAAAACCTGAGTGAGAGCCAAAATCTAAATTTAAAGGCCGAAGCGAGCCGAAACGCGCCGAAGCCGCCCGCCCGCCTCAGTCCATCGCCAACTGCCGCCCCGACATTCCCGAACGTCGCGACCGAACGCGCGCTAGCCGACGAATCCGCTCGCCGTCGCCACCGCCATCGACACAACGACTCCGTGAAAATTCAAAAAAAGAACAAATTCCAAATTTGGGAACGCGTTCGTGTTTATTCAAGTGAAAACTTTTTTTTTTATTGTCGTGCCAAAGTGACAGTGTGTGGTGGATTTTCGAGTTTTTTCCGTGATACCGGTAAATATATTTTTTATTTTTTTTCAAGTTCTAACGATTTATAATCTGTGGAGTTGTAGATAGAGATTAAAGTATAATCGCTTGCTCTATGATTGATTGACACGTGCCTCCAGCACGAGTGTAGGATTTCAACATGTCTGCCTGCCGTTCCAGAATTATTCAGTGAATATAAATTAGAGCACTGCTTATATTTAACACTTGCGCAATATTTACGTTTGTGTTTTTTTTCTCTTCCGATATGTTTATAACCTCAAAACTTAATAACGACACTTTGTGAACATCGGTAACTATTGCTTGAATATTTTGTTCTGTGTTCTTATTTTCTGAAAAATCTAGTATATTCTTATAAATGATGAAAATACTAATGTTCATTGTTAACGTTGTATGCTGTATCTATTTTTTATGTTTACCCTACAATTGGATGTTTACAGTCCCTCATATCCAAGTAACAAGTTTTTCATCTACCCAACTTATGATCAACTTTTTTAACGTTGCTTCTAAGTTCATGTCTCGACGGTTAACTTTATTACGTGTTTAGTATTTCAACAGAATGTTGAGCAGCTGTTGACTTAGCAATGATTGCCAGACTGTACTCGTAATATCACCGTTAATAACTTAAAGGGTACACAATAATATTATAACACAGCATAAAGTAAAGTCTTAAATTCAAGAATCCTCTTTAATCGATTTTATTCTTGTTATTTTACTTAACTTGGCGTTGTTTTTAAGCACGCATTAAGTTGTTTTATTTTGCAACGGGTTCCGCATTGCGTCTTAAATTTTAGTGATAATTTTTCACAATTCCTCGAGAAAGATGTTTAACTAGTTTATTATATTGTCTTTTGATTTAATTGGATAAAATAAAAAGTAGTAAAGATTGATAACAGCGTTTTGTTTATGTTTTAGGGCTGTATAACCTTCCTTAGCCTTAACCTTAAATTTGCTTAATTTTATTGACTATGACAAAGGCTTTGTAAATTTAACTTGTGTGGAAGATTTTCCTAAATTGCATTCATAGATATTTAATAGGTTTTCTTGTTATTAAATGTGATTGGTTTTGGAACCAACCATTGCGATTCTTTTGTTAGGGTCTTCATTTATTTTTTATTTTTTTATGTTTTGTTTATTCTTTCATGGGGATGAATTTAAAATTATTTTCTAACGATTAATGTTAATACTGTTAGTTAATCAAGAAATAAATTTTCGTTATCTTTGCGTCGCGAATATGTTTAAAATTAACAATATCTTGTACAAAACATTTGTAATAGTTTTGTATACCATTTATTTAATCTTGATTTCTTTTTTCCAAAATCAATGGTACGTTTTTTAATTTTTTATATATTTTATTAATTATCCCATGTGCCAAGATAAAGTGGGTTTTACAATATATTTTGTATCCCTCTCCAGTTTTTTTACATGTCCTCAATAAAGGTGAATTAATAATAGTACTAAACAATTTGTTTTGTCAACGAAATATTAAACAATCGTTCTAGTGCGCATGTAAAAGAGTTCTCTAAAAATAAAAGTTACAAAATGCCCTTGGCCAAGGCGCCTAGAGGTTGGCGATCGACGACCAACGATCAGGGTTGCCAACTATTGGGATAATGTTCCGGACATTTAGAGGGAAATACAGAAGTCAAAAAAATATATTAACTGTCAAACTATTAAAACTTAAGATTTTGTGAACATATTGCTAATTAAAACATAGAAGTTTTTATTACGCATTGGAATTAATTTTTGTTTAAATATCTCCAATATTTAGAAAGCCTGGTTAACCCATTGCCCGTGATACCTTGAGTTGTGACGCCAGCAGCAATACTAGTCTGAACAGCTGCCCAAATCCCAGCGTGTAGTAGCCGTGTGAACCTCCTCAATCACATTGCATAACAAATTCCAATTCGAATTTTGTCTTTACTAAGCTGATATTAAGGCAATCTTACAATATTGGTCTTACCTTGATTGGAGGACCATTTCTTAGATAGTACAACGTCTTAGCAGAGGTAAATTTTAATGCGTCTATCACAGTTTTTCTCTTAACGAATTTCAAGATCCTTTCACTCTGTATTCACTTGTTTTTATTTCTACTCGACCGGTTATCATCTTTTTCTCATACACAATTACCATAGCCTTCGTTTCCCATTGAAAAAAAAAAAGTATAACATAACGTAAGAGTGATGACGATGACCTTTTGCCTTACAGATTATCTAGAAATCTAATATCTGATAGGTTCAGATCTTTATTTCTGTCTTGAAGTACACGAGTATTATTTTAATTGATGACGTACTAATTTCTTAGGAATAATATTAATAGTATTTAGGCAATCTGTCAAATGCGTTTATCGGCAATGAATCAGAATCTCTGAATGAAGATGAACGGCGTTGACTGTTGGCTAAGAAACCAGCTGGTGAAGCCAAAGAGTATGGGTAGTACAAACAATACAAATAAAAATTAACCTTTATGTATCAGGCTTATTAATTCAAAGTTTCAGTGAGAATAAAAATGTTTTCAATAATCGAAGTCGTCGATTTTTCTAGACGTTGTCAATAGTGAGCGCTGGAGTCAATACACGGTCCGTACTATTCTTGGCGGCCGGTGCACTGATACAAGCGACCGATTTAGATTGAAAAATCACTCCAGTCGAAGAGGCGCATGATGTATGGCTAATTTCGTAATTTTTTGATTTAATATTACGTCTGTTCGATGTTTAGTGCCGTCCGGGGGCGGGACGTTTTATAACCTAAAATAAGCGGTTGGATGTTACTAGAGTGTATTTTACTAAAATCGGTACTTTTAATTTCGAAAGGTGATAGTTCATTTTACGCGATTTTAAATCCTATTGTATTCTAAAACTAACAAGAAGAGATTTTGTGTTAGTTTTCGATGACAATGAACACAGCGTAGGGCGGAAAAATCGTTTTGTAACAAAAGTGAGATGTTAAAAATTAGACACTTAACAGATCTTTTAAAACCAAATAAAAAAACATTTCGCAGTAGTGCAGTTATTAAGAGTCATAGATTTAGCAAGTCATGGGAAAAAAGACTAATATTTACTGGAATTTTTTACAACTTCATAAAAAAGGATGAAACAACGCGCGAAGGGAATTGTCCATCTTTCGAGGGTATTCATGATATTTTGTCTATTTAGTGTATTATTTTAAGAATATTTGGTTTTAAATTCGGTATTCTTTGCATGATTCCTTGCATTTGATAATTTCAACTGACAAACACAACTCTTGGACGAAGAGAGGCTATTAGTTATATCTGAAGATCGATTTGAAGCAATATTGTTACAAGAATAAACCAAATTTTCTACTTATCACGTGACAGTTCTGTTCTTGAGTTACACAGCGCGCTCAGCTGCCACGGGTATATCATGTATGGATAAGGGTGGGAACATACTAGCGCTCTGATAGTAAATTTACACATAATCTCCGGAACTATCACCAATAATAGTAGTGAAAGAACTTTGTCGGTAGATTCCACTCTTAAATTGACATCACTTTCATTGTACAGAAAAATATGTTAAAACCAACTCTTGTCCGTGGCCCCGTTCTCGTGGAATTAAAAAAAAAACAAAAATAAGTAGCATAGGTTATAAGTACCATAGGGCATAGGCATACCAAACTATGTATATCTGTACTAAAATTCATCGAAGCCCGTTCAACAGTTTAGTCTACAAACACTAACAAACATCCATCCATCCAGACTTTTGCATTTACAGAAAGGAGTTTATATGAATAAAACCTATTAAACAAATTAAGAAATAACAAGTCAAGCTAATAACAGTTTTTAGTACTTGACAAAGGAAAAAACTTTAATGTAATTTAGCTAGTGTGTTCAGACCCTTGCAATCAATTTGCCAGTTTGGCAGCGGCTTTTTTCCGTGTGCGCTTCATAATCGCAACATTACGTAAGAACGCTAACGAATTTTCATTAGGGTTACCATGTTAATTGGCCTGTTTGAAGCCCTGTTAGGAAAATTGTTCGACTGCTTTACCATGAAAGCGCCTGGTTAAGTCTACAAGCAATATTAAATTAAACAAGTATTATCAATATCAACAAAACTACTTTGCCTGTAACATAGTATTAGGCGATATTTGGAATTAAAATAAATAAATATAGTAATAGGCGATATTTTTTTTTAATGCCACGAGGACGAAGTCGCGGGCAAAATTAGTGTACAAGATATAATAGCACCAAAATAAAGATATTCAATATTTAAACAGCAGGAAATGAGATTAACATAAATTAGACGTATTTCCGGGTTCCCTGCATCGCGTGGCCACCATATTGGAAATTGGCACGCTTGGAGCATGGCCAGGGAAACGTGCATGTCCCGAACTCTAATTTTTTGCTAGACTTATGGCCGTCTGGACGGCGGCCATTTTGGTGCCGTTTTAAAAGGTCGATGACTAGGGGGAGGTAAAGAGGACTTTTAAAACGCATAATTAAATTGCTTAATAGTCATAACAGTTAGAATTATGCTTTTGGCAAACTTATATTTTGAATGGAAAGATTACAAGGTTACTATTGTACGGTAAGACGGTGTTCGTAGCGACATAAGGCTTCATAGCTCGTTTTCTAAGTTAAATTTAAGACCTAAAAAGTTAATTGACCCTTTCTTTTATAAACAATACAATATTTATCAATAGAAAATATAACTTACTTTTTTAGACATCGTCAAACTGAAATATTTTCCGAAATATCATGAATTAGAGCACATAATCACATTTAATTACATCAAGAAATATTCTAAGAGCACTGTAATATTATGTTTTAGTGTTCAGTCTGTTTGTTAGCATGTCGCTTGAATGTAGAATAATGAAATACGAGTTTCGTTGCCTGTCCGAAAGATCCAGGCGCTGACAATTTTATGGCCCGTGTGATAAATGTTTGGACGCATTTTAACAACATTTAACACTTCGCAACCTTGTTAATCTTTGTTTATGTTTTACTATTTGTGTTTAATATTTTTTTGAGTATTGTTTAGCTGTTTTTAAAAACATGTTTGAGTCAAATCTAACATTAATCCGTGCCGCTGACACCAAAATCGCTATCAAATGTTTTGGCGTGAATACGGAAATTTCCCTTCATTTTTTATGATTGGGAATTCTGAAAACGCTAACGGGAAACTCGAATAAGGAAATTTGGCTATACTTGAGTTAGTCATTTGTAAATGTTCACTGTAGGGTTCTATCTCATTCTCATTAAGATAAAGCGTATTTCAGTAACAGAATATTGGATAGCAATGGGAGTGTTATTATTATAGAGTGAGAGAGTTCTAAACTCCCGTCATTGTTCGTTACCTTGACACAAATTGGGACATATTTAACCGAACAATTCTATGTGATGGCAAAAATAAGTGACATCTGTTGACCGAATTAATTTACCTACTAAAATACTAAACGAGATTTCAAATGGCGGAAAGAGTACAATTTTTTCTTGCTAAAAATATATGTAAATACGTTTGTTCTTTGATCCTATATTGTTAGAAAAGAGATATGGCTTCTAAGCCATTAGCGACCCCTGGCGACGATCCAGAAATATTTATTAAATAGTTATGTCTTTCAAAATATCGAGTGCAAGCTTGCAAGTGCGTCAAGGTTGCTGTACGCATTATTTAGTTTTAGTGTAAATAAATTTGACGATAATATATTATTTGGTTGTTTAGTTAAAACCTGTCATCTGTGAGTCTGGCTCATAAATTGGAATATTGGCCAGTTAGAATTCATTCGAATTGAATTGCATAATAAAAAATATGGAAATCTCAATTTTAAAATTGTTCATTTGTTTATTGGTTTGTTAAATTTTGATATTTATTGAAATTGATTTGCGAAAATACATATTTTTTGAATTAGTAGTTACTTAATATTGACTATTTGGACTTGGTGACATAATTAAATACCTTCCTTTTTATGTATGTTAGATAATTAGACACAAATGACTTCCTTTAAAATATAGACGGACGGTCATACTAACAATACTTGTAAATTACTTTAAAACACACAAACTGGACTCCAATGCGACAACGATATCGAACGTTCCAAGGTGATGACTAGAAAAACACTGAGCTTTTTGGCGACTGAGCGCCGAGACTGCGACTGAGCGTCCGAGTCACTCCTTGCCATGTATTTTATAACAGTACCCCCCACTATTCCTTCCGTTTCCTAATATTTTCCTCACAATATTGTTGTTTTAAATAGACTATATTTATTTAAGAATACAGAATATATCAAAATATTCAACAAGCTAACATGTAGTAAATAAAGTATCTAATAATTTTTCTATCTATACTTCTATATCTATACTATTATAATAAAGCGTAAACACACACTTCTTTGTTGCCTAAGATGTCAGCAATTACAGCATATTTTTGAATAATTCATTTTTTTAATAAAAAGACCTACACTTAGGTCACGTTTTAGGCAATATATTTGACTCCATTAAACTTAGGGAGTAAATCTTTTGGATAAAAACCTTAATGTGGGAAAGAGAAGTAGACCATAAGTTGCTGCCAACATCAAGGAAGCAAGGTTGTCATGGTTTGTCATCATGAGAATTTGACGCATGTAAACAATAAAATAAAATTTTCATAATTTTATGCGGATGAAGTCGCACGGGAACAGCTAGTTAAATATACTTAAGTAGTTGAGGATGCTGTAACATGTTGTTAGGTTTCTTTCTTAATTAGATATTGAGTTAATTACATAAGATATTTGCCACTAGAGCCAGGTGGCTAGTTTATATTGTTATGTTAAGTTATATTTTAACAGTGGTAGTGCCCGCTTTAAAATCTTAGCACGGATGGGCCGGCACGCCCGGTGTAATACCACGACCACACAGAAGACAGGCGTGAAATGGAAGCAATTCCGTGTTTCGTCTGATGAGTGTGGT